TTTTTTTTTCCTGGACACCCCAAAAACCAGGAGGGGAACCCCAAAAACCACAGAGGAAACCCAAAAAACCAAGTGGGAAACCCCAAAAACCACAAAGGAAACCCAAAAAACCAAGTGGGAAACCCCAAAAACCACAAAGGAAACCCAAAAAAACAAGTGGGAAACCCCAAAAACCACAAAGGAAACCCAAAAAACCAAGTGGGAAACCCCAAAAACCACAAAGGAAACCCAAAAAACCAAGTGGGAAACCCCAAAAACCACAAAGGAAACCCAAAAAACCAAGTGGGAAACCCCAAAAACCACAAAGGAAACCCAAAAAACCAAGTGGGAAACCCCAAAAACCACAAAGGAAACCCAAAAAACCACAGAGGAAACCCAAAAAACAAGTGGGAAAACCCAAAAAACCACCAAAAATACCCAAAAATGGGGAAAAATTGGGGTTGAAATAAAGATTTTGGGGTTGATTTTTGGGGTGTGATGAGTTTGGATCCATAAATGATGATTTTCTTTTCCTGGACACCCCAAAAACCAGGAGGGGAACCCCAAAAACCACAAAGGAAACCCAAAAAACCAAGTGGGAAACCCCAAAAAACCAAGTGGGAAACCCCAAAAAACCAAGTGGGAAACACCAAAACCACCAAAAATACCCAAAAACGGGGAAAAACGGGCAAGAATTGGGGTTGAAATAAAGATTTTTGGGGTGTGATGAGTTTGGTTCCATAAATGATGATTTTGTTTTCCTGGACACCCCAAAAATCAGGAGGGGAACCCCAAAAACCACAAAGGAAACCCAAAAAACCAAGTGGGAAACCCCAAAAACCACAAAGGAAACCCCAAAAAACCAAGTGGGAAACCCCAAAAAACCACCAAAAATACCAAAAAATGGGTAAGAATTGGGGTTGAAAAAATGATTTTTGGGGTGTGATGAGTTTGGTTCCATAAATGATGATCTTCTTTTCCTGGACACCCCAAAAACCAGGAGAAGAACCCCAAAAACCACAGAGGAAACCCAAAAAACCAAGTGGGAAACCCCAAAAAACCACCAAAAATGGGGAAAAACGGGCAAGAATTGGGGTTGAAAACAAGATTTTAGGGTTGATTTTTGGGGTGAGACGTGTTTGGTTCCATAAATGATGTTCTTCTTTTTTGGACACCCCAAAAACCAGGAGAGGAACCCCAAAAACCACAAAGGAAACCCAAAAAACCAAGTGGGAAACCCCAAAAACCACCAAAAATACCCAAAAATGGGGAAAAACGGGCAAAAATTGGGGTTGAAATAAAGATTTTAGGGTTGATTTTTGGGGTGAGATGCGTTTGGTTCCATAAATGGTGATTTTCTTCTCCTGGACACCCCAAAAACCAGGAGGGGAACCCCAAAAACCACAAAGGAAACCCAAAAACCCACAAAAAAACCCCAAAAAACCAAGTGGGAAACCCCAAAAACCACCAAAAATACCCAAAAACGGGCAAGAATTGGGGTTGAAATAAAGATTTTTGGGGTGTGATGAGTTGGGTTCCATAAATGGTGATCTTCTTTTCCTGGACACCCCAAAAAACAGGAGGGGAACCCCAAAAACTACAGAACAAAACCCAAAAAACCAAGTGGGAAACCCCAAAAACCACCAAAAATACCCAAAAATGGGGAAAAACGGGCAAGAATTGGGGTTGAAACAAAGATTTTTGGGGTGTGATGAGTTTGGTTCCATAAATGGTGATTTTCTTTTCCTGGACACCCCAAAAACCAGGAGGGGAACCCCAAAAACCACGAAGGAAACCCAAAAAACCAAGTGGGAAACCCCAAAAACCACAAAGGAAACCCAAAAAACCAAGTGGGAAACCCCAAAAACCACCAAAAATGGGGAAAAATGGGCAAAAATTGGGGTTGAAAAAAAGATTTTAGGGGTGAGACGTGTTGGGTTCCATAAATGGTGATTTTCTTTACCTGAACACCCCAAAACCAGGAGGGGAACCCCAAAAACCACAGAGGAAACCCAAAAAACCAAGTGGGAAACCCCAAAAAACCACCAAAAATGGGGAAAAACGGGCAAGAATTGGGGTTGAAAAAAAGATTTTTGGGGTGTGATGAGTTTTTGGTTCCATAAATGGTGATTTTCTTTTCCTGGACACCCCAAAAAACAGGAGGGGAACCCCAAAAACCACAAAGGAAACCCAAAAAAACAAGTGGGAAACCCCAAAAACCACCAAAAATACCCAAAAATGGGGAAAAACGGGCAGGAATTGGGGTTGAAAAGAAGATTTTTGGGGTGTGATGATTTTGGTTCCATAAATGATGATCTTCTTTTCCTGGACACCCCAAAAACCAGGAGGGGAACCCCAAAAACCACAGAGGAAACCCAAAAAACCAAGTGGGAAACCCCAAAAACCAAGTGGGAAACCCCAAAAAACCACAAAGGAAACCCAAAAAACCGAGCAAGAAACCCCAAAAAAACCACCAAAAAAACCACCAAAAATGGGGAAAAAAGGGCAAGAATTGGGGTTGAAATAAAGATTTTTGGGGTGTGATGAGTTTTTGGTTCCATAAATGATGATTTTCTTTTCCTGGACACCCCAAAAAGCAGGAGGGGAACCCCAAAAACCACAAAGGAAACCCAAAAAACCAAGTGGGAAACCCCAAAAACCACAAAGGAAACCCAAAAAACCAAGTGGGAAACCCCAAAAACCACAAAGGAAACCCAAAAAACCAAGTGGGAAACCCCAAAAACCAAGTGGGAAACCCAAAAAACCACAAAGGAAACCCAAAAAACCAAGTGGGAAACCCCAAAAACCACCAAAAATGGGGAAAAACGGGTAAAAATTGGGGTTGAAAAGAAGATTTTTGGGGTGTGATGAGTTTTTGGTTCCATAAATGGTGATTTTCTTTTCCTGGACACCCCAAAAACCAGGAGGGGAACCCCAAAAACCACAGAGGAAACCCAAAAAACCAAGTGGGAAACCCCAAAAAACCAAGTGGGAAACCCCAAAAAACCCCAAAAACCACCAAAAATGAGGAAAAACGGGCAAGAATTGGGGTTGAGAAGAAGATTTTTGGGGTGTGATGAGTTTTTGGTTCCATAAATGATGATCTTATTTTCCTGGACACCCCAAAAACCAGGAGGGGAACCCCAAAAACTACAGAACAAAACCCAAAAAACCAAGTGGGAAACCCCAAAAAACCACCAAAAATACCCAAAAATGGGGAAAAATGGGCAAGAATTGGGGTTGAAAAATGATTTTTGGGGTGTGATGAGTTTTTGGTTCCATAAATGATGATTTTCTTTTCCTGGACACCCCAAAAACCAGGGGGGGAACCCCAAAAACCACAAAGGAAACCCAAAAAACCAAGTGGGAAACCCCAAAAACCACCAAAAACCACCAAAAATGGGGAAAAACGGGTAAGAATTGGGGTGGAAAAACAGATTTTTGGGGTGTGATGAGTTTGGTTCCATAAATGGTGATTTTCTTTTCCTGGACACCCCAAAAACCAGGAGGGGAACCCCAAAAACCACAAAGGAAACCCAAAAAACCAAGTGGGAAACCCCAAAAAAACACCAAAAATACCCAAAAACAGAGAAAAATGGGCAAGAATTGGGGTTGAAAAATGATTTTTGGGGTGTGATGAGTTTGGTTCCATAAATGGTGATCTTCTTCTCCTGGACACCCCAAAAACCAGGAGGGGAACCCCAAAAACCACAGAGGAAACCCAAAAAACCAAGTGGGAAACCCCAAAAAACCAAGTGGGAAACCCCAAAAACCACCAAAAATGGGGAAAAATGGGTAAAAATTGGGGTTGGAATAAAGATTTTGGGGTTGATTTTTGGGTTGTGATGAGTTTGGTTCCATAAATGGTGATCTTCTTTTCCTGGACACCCCAAAAACCAGGAGGGGAACCCCAAAAACCACAAAGGAAACCCAAAAAACGAAGTGGGAACCCCAAAAAACCACCAAAAATACCCAAAAATGGGGAAAAACGGGCAAGAATTGGGGTTGAAAAAAAGATTTTTGGGGTTTGATGAGTTTTTGGTTCCATAAATGGTGATTTTCTTTTTCTGGACACCCTAAAAACCAGGAGGGGAACCCCAAAAACCACAAAGGAAACCCAAGAAACCAAGTGGGAAACCCCAAAAACCACCAAAAATGGGGAAAAATGGGCAAGAATTGGGGTTGAAAACAAGATTTTTGGGGTGTGATGAGTTTGGTTCCATAAATGATGATCTTCTTTTTCTGGACACCCCAAAAACCAGGAGGGGAACCCCAAAAACCACAAAGGAAACCCAAAAAACCAAGTGGGAAACCCCAAAAAACCACCAAAAATACCCAAAAATGGGGAAAAACGGGCAAGAATTGGGGTTGAAATAAAGATTTTTGGGTTGATTTTTGGGGTGAGACGCGTTTGGTTCCATAAATGATGATTTTCTTTTCCTGGACACCCCAAAAACCAGGAGGGGAACCCCAAAAACCCAAAAAACCAAGTGAGAACCCCAAAAAACCACCAAAAATACCCAAAAATGGGGAAAAACGGGTAAAAATTGGGGTTGAAAAAAAGATTTTTTGGGTGTGATGAGTTTTTGGTTCCATAAATTATGATTTTCTTTTCCTGGACACCCCAAAAAACAGGAGGGGAACCCCAAAAACCACAAAGGAAACCCAAAAAACCAAGTGGGAAACCCCAAAAACCACAAAGGAAACCCAAAAAACCACAAAGGAAACCCAAAAAAACCACCAAAAATATCCAAAAATGGGGAAAAACGGGCAAGAATTGGGGTTGAGAAGAAGGACACCCCAAAATTTGACCTGAATTTGGGGCTGCTCCCCCAAAATTTTCTCCCCTCATCATTGCAGGACGCGTCGTCAGATCCCGCGGGATCGGATGGAAACGTCGGATTTAATCATCGGGAGAGGGGGAGCACCCCAAAAACCCCAAATTCCAACCCAAAAATTCGGGATTTACACAAATTCTGACCCAATTTGGCCCCAATGAGAACCCAAAATCCCCCAAAATTTCAGGTGGGACCCCAAAACCCACGTGGTGAGGTCCCAGAGGAGAAGGGACAGGAGCAGATCCAAAACCCCAAATCCCACCTCAAAAATCCCAAATTTACCCAACTTTTGGGACAATCTGACCCTGCTGAGACCCCAAAACCCCCCAAAACCCCCCAAAATTTCAGGTGGGACCCCAAAACCAACGTGTTGAGGTCCCAGAGAAGAAAGGATGGTGAACACCTCAAACCTCTTCAATCCCACCCCAAAAACCCCAAATTTACCCAAATTCTGACCCAATTTGGCCCCGATGAGACCCCAAAACCCCCCCAAAATTTCAGGTGGGACCCCAAAACCCACGTGGTGAGGTCCCAGAGGAGAAGGGACAGGAGCAGATCCAAAACCCCAAATCCCACCTCAAAAATTTGGGATTTACCCAAATTTTCACCCTGGTGAGACCCCAAAATCCCCCAAAACCCTCCAAAATTTCAGGTGGGACCCCAAAACCCACGTGGTGAGATCCCAGAGGACGTGGATGACAAACGGCTCAAACCACCCCAAAAATCCCAAATTTACCCAAATTCTGACCCAATTTGGCCCCAATGAGACCCCAAAACCCCCCAAACCCCCCAAAATTTGAGGTGGGACCCCAAAACTGATGTGGTGAGATCCCAGAGGAGAAGGAACAAGACCAGCTCAAACCACCCCAAAAATTCGGGATTTGCCCAAATTTTGACCCAATTTGGCCCCGATGAGACCCCAAAATCCCCCAAAACCCCCCAAAATTTGAGGTGGGACCCCAAAACGCACGTGGTGAGGTCCCAGAGAAGAAAAGATGGTGAACACCTCAAACCACCCCAATCCCACCCCAAAAACCCCGAATTTACCCAAATTCTGACCCAATCTGACCCTGGTGAGACCCCAAAATGCCCCAAAACCCCCCAAAATTTCAGGTGGGACCCCAAAACCCACGTGGTGAGGTCCCAGAGAAGAAAGGATGGTGAACACCTCAAACCACCCCAATCCCACCCCTAAAATCCTAAATTTACCCAACTTTTGGGACAATCTGACCCTGCTGAGACCCCAAAATCCCCCAAAACCCCCCAAAATTTCAGGTGGGACCCCAAAACGCACGTGGTGAGATCCCAGAGGAGAACGGACAGGAGCAGACCCGAAACCCCAAATCCCACCTCAAAAATTTGGGATTTACGCAACTTCTGACCCAATTTGGCCATGGTGAGACCCCAAAACCCCCCAAAACCCCCCAAAATTTGAGGTGGGACCCCAAAACGCACGTGGTGAGGTCCCAGAGGCGCAGGGTGCCGTCCCAGGAGCCCGAGAGCGCGAACTGCCCGTCGGAGGAGATGACCACGTCGCTGACGAAGTGCGAGTGGCCGCGCAGCGCCCGCTGCGGGATCCCGTAGTTGGTCTCGTCGCGCGTCAACTTCCACATGATGATGGTCTTGTCTGGGGTGGACATGGGGGTGTCACTTTAGGGGACATCCCGGTTACGGTGGGTTTGGGGTGGTTTTGGGTGGGTTCGGGTCGGTTTTGGGTCGGTTTTGGGTTGTTTTCGTTGAGTTTGGGTCATACTTCTTGGGTTTGGGGTCATTTTTGGAGGATTTGGATCATTTTTGTTGGGTTCGAGGTCGTTCTTGGTGGGTTCGGGTCGGTTTCGTTGAGTTTGGGTCATTCTTGTTAGGTTTCAGGTAATTTTTGTTGGGTTTGGGTCATTTTTGTTGGGTTTGGGTCAGTTTTGGTGGGTTTGGGTCAGTTTTGGTGGGTTTGGGTCAGTTTTGGTGGGTTTCGGTCATACTTGTTGGGTTTGGGGTCATTTTTGTTGGGTTCGGGTCATCTCTGGTGGGTTTGGGTCATTTTTGATGGGTTTGGGGTCATTTTTGGTGGGTTTGGGTGGGTTCGGGTCAGTTTTGGGTCGTTTTGGGTCGTTTTCGTTGAGTTTGGGTCATTTTTGTTTGGTTTGGTGCCATTCTTGTTGAGTTCGGGTCATTCTTGTTGGGTTTGGGTCAGTTTTGTTGGGTTTGGGTCAGTTTTGGTGGGTTTGGGTCATTTTTGGTGGGTTTGGATCAGTTTTGGTGGGTTCGGGGTGGTTTTCGTTGAGTTTGGGTCATTTTTGGTGGGTTTGGGGTCGTTCTTCGTGGGTTTGGGTCAATTTTGGTGGGTTTGGGGAGGTTTTCTTTGAGTTTGGGTCATTCTTGTTGGGTTTGGGTCAGTTTTGGTGGGTTTGGGTCAATTTTGTTGGGTTGGGGTCAGTTTTGGTGGCTTTGGGTCAGTTTGGGCGGGTTTGGGTCGTTCTTGTTGGGTTGGGGGTTGTTCTTGGTAAATTTGGGTCATTTTTGGTGGGTTTGGGTCATTCTTTGTAGGTTTGGGTCAATTTTGGTGGGTTCGGGGTGGTTTTCGTTGAGTTTGGGTCATTTTTGTTGGGTTCAGGGTCGTTCTTGGTGGGTTTGGGGTTATCCTTGTTGGGTTCGGGTTGTTCTTGTTGGGTTTCAGGTCATTTCTGGTGGGTTTTGGGTCAATTTTGGTGGGTTTGGGTCAGTTTTGGTGGCTTTGGGTCATTTTTGTTGGGTTCGGGTCGTTTTTGGTGGGTTTGGGTGGGTTCGGGTCGGTTTTGGGTCGTTTTGGGTCGTTCTTGGTGGGTTTGGGTCATACTTGTTGGGTTGGGGGCTGTTCTTGGTAAATTTGGATCATTTTTGGTGGGTTTGGGTCAGTTCTCATTGAGTTTGGGTCAATTTTGTTGGGTTTGGCTCAGTTTTGGTGGGTTTGGATCATTTTTGGTGGGTTTGGATCATTTTTGTTGGGTTGGGGATCATTTTTGGTGTCTTTGGATCATTTTTGGTAGGTTTGGGTCATTCTGGTTGGGTTTCAGGTCATTTTTGGTGGGTTTCGGTCAGTTTTGGTGGGATTGGGGAGGTTTTCTTTGAGTTTGGGTCATTCTTGGTGGGTTTCGGGTGGTTCTCGTTGAGTTTGGGTCATTTTTGGTGGGTTTGGGTCGTTCTTGGTGGGTTCGGGGTCGTTCTTGGTGGCTTTGGATCAGTTTTGGTGCGTTTGGGTCGTTTTTGATGGGTTTGGATCATTTTTGGAGGATTCGGGTCATTTTTGGTGGGTTTGGGTCAGTTTTGGTGGGTTTGGATCATTCTTGGTGGGTTTGGGTCATTCTTGGTGGGTTTGGATCAGTTTTGGTGGGTTTGGGTCATCTTTGGTGGGTTTGGGTCATTTTTGTTGGGTTGGGGGTCGTTCTTGGTGGGTTTGGATCAATTTTGGTGGGTTTGAGTCAATTTTGGTGGGTTTGGGTCAGTTTTGGAAGATTTGGGTCAGTCCTGGTGGGTTTGGGGTCATTTTTTTGGGGTTTTTGGACAATGTGGGGAGACCCCAACACCCCCTGGCCCTATAGGACCCCCACCCATGGGTGCCCCCAGCCCCATTTCCCATCCCCCATTTCCCCCATGGGTGCCCCCAGACCCATTTCCCCCATCTCCCACCCCCCATTTCCCCCATGGGTGCCCCCAGCCCCATTTCCCCCTATTTCCCACCCCCCATTTCCCCCATGGGTGCCCCCAGCCCCATTTCCCACCCCCCATTTCCCCCATGGGTGCCTCCAGCCCCATTTCCCCCATGGGTGCCCCCAGCCCCATTTCCCCCCCCATGGGTGCCCCCAGCCCCATTTCCCACCCCCCATTTCCCCCATGGGTGCCCCCAGCCCCATTTCCCACCCCCCATTTCCCCCATGGGTGCCCCCAGCCCCATTTCCCCCATGGGTGCCCCCAGCCCCATTTCCCCCCCCATGGGTGCCCCCAGCCCCATCTCCCACCCCCCATTTCCCCCCCCATGGGTGCCCCCAGCCCCATTTCCCAGCCCCATTTCCCCCATGGGTGCCCCCAGCCCCATTTCCCCCCCCATGGGTGCCCCCAGCCCCATTTCCCACCCATGGGTGCCCCCAGACCCATTTCCCCCCCCCCATTTCCCCCATGGGTGCCCCCAGCCCCATTTCCCCCCCCATGGGTGCCCCCAGCCCCATTTCCCACCCCCCATTTCCCCCATGGGTGCCCCCAGCCCCATTTCCCCCCCCATGGGTGCCCCCAGCCCCATTTCCCACCCCCCATTTCCCCCATGGGTGCCCCCAGCCCCATTTCCCCCCATCTCCCACCCCCCATTTCGCCCATGGGTGCCCCCAGCCCCATTTCCCACCCCCCATTTCCCCCATGGGTGCCCCCAGCCCCATTTCCCCCCATGGGTGCCCCCAGCCCCATTTCCCCACCCATGGGTGCCCCCAGCCCCATTTCCCCCCATGGGTGCCCCCAGCCCCATTTCCCACCCCATGGGTGCCCCCAGCCCCATTTCCCACCCCCGATTTCCCCCATTTCCCCCCATCTCCCACCCCCCATTTCCCCCATGGGTGCCCCCAGCCCCATTTCCCACCCCGCATTTCCCCCATGGGTGCCCCCAGCCCCATTTCCCACCCCCCATTTCCCCCATGGGTGTCCCCAGCCCCATTTCCCCCATGGGTGCCCCCAGCCCCATTTCCCACCCCCCATTTCCCCACCCATGGGTGCCCCCAGCCCCATTTCCCACCCCCCATGGGTGCCCCCAGCCCCATTTCCCCCCCCATGGGTGCCCCCAGCCCCATTTCCCACCCCCCATTTCCCCCATGGGTGCCCCCAGCCCCATTTCCCCCTATAGGTGCCCCCAGCCCCATTTCCCCCTCACGAATTCCCCCATTTCCCCCATGGGTGCCCCCAGACCCATTTCCCACCCCCCATTTCCCCCATGGGTGCCCCCAGCCCCATTTCCCCTCACGGATTCCGCCATTTCCCCCATGGGTGCCCCCAGCCCCATTTTCCCCCTCACGAATTCCCCCATTTCCCCCATGGGTGCCCCCAGCCCCATTTCCCACCCCCATTTCCCCCATGGGTGCCCCCAGCCCCATTTCCCCACCCATGGGTGCCCCCAGCCCCATTTCCCACCCCCCATTTCCCCCCCCATGGGTGCCCCCAGCCCCATTTCCCCCCCATGGGTGCCCCCAGCCCCATTTCCCACCCCCCATTTCCCCCATGGGTGCCCCCAGACCCATTTCCCCCTCACGGATTCCGCCATTTCCCCCCATGGGTGCCCCCAGCCCCATTTTCCCCTCACGGATTCCGCCATTTCCCCCATGGGTGCCCCCAGCCCCATTTCCCCCTCACGAATTCCGCCATTTCCCCCTCGCCGCCCTCACCGCGCGACGCCGACAGGATCATGTCGGGGAACTGCGGCGTGGTGGCGATCTGGGTCACCCAGCCATTGTGGCCCTTCAGGGTGCCCCGCAGGGTCATCTGCTCCGTCATGGTGGCGGCGATGCGGGCGGGATCGCCGCGGATGGCGGCGGATTCGCGGAGATTCGCGGAGGCCGCGGCCCTGAGCCCTCCGTCCCCTCAGGAGGCGGCGGCAGGAAGAGAAGGAGCCACTTCCGGCAGAAACGGAAGTGACGTATTCCGTACGGAAAGATGGCGGCCCTCATGAGGGTAATACATCGGCGCCATTTTGTTGTACGGAAAATGGAGGAGGGATTCGGGGGGGGAACCTCGGAGAAGGTTCCAGAACCCCAAAAATGATCGCAGGGAGCCCCAAAAAATCCCAGTGACCCCCAAAAAATCCCAGTGACCCCCAAAAATGATCACAGGGACCCCCAAAATACCCCAGTGACCCCCAAAATATCCCCAGGGACCCCCAAAATATCCCAGTGACCCCCAAAATATCCCCAGTGACCCCCAAAATATCCCCAGTGACCCCCAAAAATGATCACAGGGACCCCCAAAATATCCCCAGTGACCCCCAAAAAATCCCAGTGACCCCCAAAAAATCCCAGTGACCCCCCAAAAATGATCACAGGGAGCCCCAAAATATCCCCAGTGACCCCCAAAATATCCCAGTGACCCCCAAAATATCCCAGTGACCCCCAAAAATATCCCAGTGACCCCCAAAAAATCCCAGTGACCCCCAAAAATGATCACAGGGAGCCCCAAAAATCCCAGTGACCCCCAAAATATCCCAGTGACCCCCAAAATATCCCAGTGACCCCCAAAGTGACCCCCAAAATATCCCAGTGACCCCCAAAAAATCCCAGTGACCCCCAAAATATCCCAGTGACCCCCAAAACATCCCAGTGACCCCCAAAGTGACCCCCAAAAAATCCCAGTGACCCCCAAAAAATCCCAGTGACCCCCAAAATATCCCAGTGACCCCCAAAACATCCCAGGGACCCCCAAAAATGATCACAGGGACCCCCAAAAAATCCCAGTGACCCCCAAAATATCCCAGTGACCCCCAAAAATGATCGCAGGGAGCCCCAAAATATCCCAGTGACCCCCAAAAAAATCCCAGTGACCCCCAAAAAATCCCAGTGACCCCCAAAAATATCCCAGTGACCCCCAAAAAATGATCCCAGGGAACCCCAAAATATCCCAGTGACCCCCAAAATATCCCAGTGACCCCCAAAATATCCCCAGTGACCCCCAAAAAACCCCAGTGACCCCCAAAATATCCCAGTGACCCCCAAAATATCCCAGTGACCCCCAAAGTGACCCCCAAAATAACCCAGTGACCCCAAAAATGATCACAGGGAGCCCCAAAAATGATCACAGGGAGCCCCAAAATACCCCAGTGACCCCCAAAATATCCCAGTGACCCCCCAAAATCCCCCCCGTTCCCCCCCCCCACCAAATTTTGGGCCCTTCCCCTCCTCCCACCCAAATTTTGGGCTCCTCCCTCCCCAAAATTTGGGCCCCTGTCCCCAAAATTTTGGGCCCTTCCCCCCCAAATTTTGGGCCCTTCCGCTCCCCCCCTAAATTTGGTTCCCCCTCCCCCAAATTTTGGGCCCTTCCCCCCCAAATTTTGGCCTCCCCCCAACCCAAATTTTGGCCTCCCCCCAACCCAAATTTTGGGCTCCACCCCCTCCCCCCCTAAATTTGGTTCCCCCTCCCCTAAATTTTGGGCTCCTCCCCCCCAAATTTTGGGGGCCCCTCCCAAATTTTGGCCCCTCCCCCCACCCAAATGTTGCCCCCCCCCCCCCAATTTTGGGCCCTTCCCCCCCAAATTTTGGACCCTTCCGCTCCCCCCCACCCAAATTTTGGGCTCCTCCCCCCCAAATTTTGGGCCTGTCCCCCCCCAGCCAAATTTTGGGCTCCTCCTTCCCCCCCAAATTTTGGGCTCCTCCCCCACCCAAATTTTAGGCCCCCCCCCCAAATTTTGGGCCCTTCCGCTCCCCCCCACCCAAATTTTGGGCTCCTCCCCCCAAAATTTTGGGCCCCTCCCAAATTTTGACCCCTCCCCCCACCCAAATATTCCCCCTCCGATTTTGGTCCCCCCCCAAATTTGACCACGCCCCCAAATTTTGGCCCCTCCCCCAAATTTTGGCCCCTCCCCCGGTTAATTTTGGGGTCGGTTCCGGTTCCGGTCGCGCGGGGCCTGCGGGGCCGGGGGGACCCCAAAAACCGCCCCGGGAACCCCAAAAATCCCCCAAAAACCCCAAAAACTGACCCGGCCGGTGAGTGCACCCAAAATCCCCCCAAAAACCCCAAAAATCCCCCAAAAACCGCCAAAACCGCCCCCAAAACCCCAAAAATCCCATCCCAAAACCTCAAAAACCGCCCCGGGAACCCCAAAAATCCGCCAAAAATCCCAAAACTGACCCGGGAACCCCAAAAACTGACCCGGGAACCCCAAAAATCCCCCAAAAACCCCAAAACTGACCCGGGAACCCCAAAAACCGCCCCGGGAACCCCCAAATTCCCCAAAAACCCCAAAACTGACACGGGAACCCCAAAAACCGCCAAAAACCCCAAAATCCCATCCCAAAACCCCAAAAACTGACCCGGGAACCCCAAAAACCGCCCCGGGAACCCCAAAAATCCGCCAAAAACCCCAAAAACTGACCTGGCCGGTGAGTGCACCCCAAAATCCCCCCAAAAACCCCAAAAATCCCCCAAAAACCCCAAAAACTGACCCGGCCGGTGAGTGCACCCCAAAATCCCCCCCAAAACCCCCAAAATCCCCCCAAAACCCCAAAATTCCCCCCAAACCCCAAAAATCCCCCAAAAACCGCCCCAGGAACCCCAAAAATCCCCCAAAAACCCCAAAACTGACCCGGCCGGTGAGTGCACCCCAAAATCCCCCCCAAAAACCCAAAAATCCCATCCCAAAACCCCCAAAACTGACCCGGGTACCCCAAAATTCCCGGGAACCCCAAAAATCCCATCCCAAAACCCCCAAAATCCCCCCCAAACCCCAAAACTGACCCGGGAATCCCCAAAATCCCCTCAAAACCCCAAAAAATTCCCCTAAAACCCCAAAAACTGACCCGGGAACCCCAAAAACTGACCCGGGAACCCCAAAACTGACCCGGGAACCCCAAAACTGACCCGGGAACCCCAAAAACTGACCCGGGAACCCCAAAACTGACCCGGGAACCCCAAAAATCCGCCAAAAACCCCAAAACTGACCCGGGAACCCCAAAATTGACTCGGCCAGTTTATTTATTTTACTTTATTTTATTCTATTTTATTTTATTTTATTTTATTTCATTTCATTTTATTTCATTTTATTTAATTTCATTTTATTTCATTTTATTTCATTTTATTTATTTTATTTTGACTCTAATTTAATTTAATTTATGTTTATTGTTTCATGGCTTTATTTTATTTTTTTGTTTTTATTTTGAATATTTTAATTGTTCTTTTATTTTTTTTTAATTTTTATTCTTTCATGTATTTTTGTGTTTTCTTTTATTTTTAAATTATCAGTTTATTTTATTCCATATTTTTAATTTTATTTCATTTATTCCATTTTATTTATTATTATTGTTTCACTGGGTTTTTTTTTGTTTTATTTGTCATTATTTTAATTATTTTATTTTGCTAATATGGTTTAGATTGAATTTATGTTATTTTAAATTTTAATTTTTCCTTTATTTTATTTCATTCTTTTTTTAATTTATTTTATTATTTTAGTTGGTTTTTTTTATTTTGTATTTTATTTTATTTTATTTCATTTTATTTTTTATTGTTTGTTTCATAGTTTTATTTTGCTGTTTTTATTTTTAATTTTTCAATTGTTATTTAATTTTATTTTTTATTAATTATTTTATTTTGGTTTATTTCATTTTATTTTGTTTTGTTTATTTTATTCTGCCTTATTTATTTTATTTTTCTTTCTTTTCTTTTCTTTTCTTTTAAATATTCCCAAAATTCCCAAATTTTCCTGGAAAATTCTTCCCCCACCAAAATTCCTGATTTTTTTTCCCTTCCAGGAACTCCCGAAGCAGCGACGAGATGGAGCCGGGTGGGTAAAAATTCAAATTTTGGGGGATTTTTATACCAAATTCCAGCTTTTTTCACCCAAAAATCCCAATTTTTCCTCAATTTTGGGTGAATTTTCCCAAATTTTCCTTCCCAAATTCCCAATTTTTTTCCTCATTTCCCATCCCCAAATTGATTTCAACACAAAAAATCCAAATTTAATTAAAATTCGATTTAATTCCCGGAATTTTGCTCATTTTTGGGTGAATTTTCCCAATTTTTTGTTCCAAAATTCCAAATTTTCCTCTATTTTGGGTGAATTTTCCCAAATTTTCCTTCCCAAATTCCCAATTTTTTTTCTCATTTCCCATCCCCGAATTGATTTCAACACAAAAAAAATCCAAATTTAATTAAAATTCAATTTAATTCCCTGAATTTTCCTCATTTTTGGGTGAATTTTCCCAAATTTTTGTTCCAAAATTCCAATTTTTCCTCTTTTTTGGCTGAATTTTCCCAAATTTTCCTTCCCAAATTCCCAATTTTTTCCTCATTTCCCTTCCCCGAATTGATTTCAACACAAAAAAAATCCAAATTTAATTAAAATTTGATTTAATTCCCTGAATTTTGCTCATTTTTGGGTGAATTTTCCCAAATTTTTCACCCAAAAATCCCAAATTTTCCTCCATTTTCGGTGAAATTTTCTCAAATTTTCCTTCCCAAATTCCCAATTTTTTTTCCCATTTCCCTTCCCCAAATTGGTTTCAACACAAAAAAAATCCAAATTTAAATAAAATTCGATTTAATTCCCTGAATTTCCCTCATTTTTGGGTGAATTTTCCCAAATTTTTCACCCAAAAATCCCAATTTTTCCTCAATTTTGGGTGAATTTTCCCAAATTTTCCTTCCCAAATTCCCAATTTTTTTCCTCATTTCCCATCCCCGAATTGGTTTCAACAAAAAAAATCCAAATTTAATTAAAATCCGATTTAATTCCCTGAATTTTGCTCATTTTTCGGTGAATTTTCCCAAATTTTTGTTCCAAAATTCCAATTTTTCCTCTTTTTTGGCTGAATTTTCCCAAATTTTCCTTCCCAAATCCCAAATTTTTTTCCCATTTCCCTTCCCCAAATTGATTTCAACACAAAAAATCCAAATTTAATTAAAATTCGATTTAATTCCCTGAATTTTGCTCATTTTTGGATGAATTTTCCCAAATTTTTCACCCAAAAATCCCAAATTTTCCTCCATTTTGGCTGAATTTTCCCAAATTTTCCTTCCCAAATTCCCAATTTTTTTCCTCATTTCTCTCCCCCAAATTGATTTCAACACAAAAAATCCAAATTTAATTAAAATTCGATTTAATTCCCTGAATTTCCCTCATTTTTGGGTGAATTTTCCCAAATTTTTGTTCCAAAAATCCCAATTTTTCCTCAATTTTGGGTGAATTTTCCCAAATTTTCCTTCCCAAATTCCCAATTTTTTTCCTAATTTCCCTTCCCCAAATTGGTTTCAACACAAAAAATCCAAATTTAATTAAAATTCGATTTAATTCCCTGATTTTCCCTCATTTTTGGGTGAATTTTCCCGAAGTTTTGTTCCAAAAATTCCAAATTTTCCTCCATTTTGGCTGAATTTTCCCAAATTTTCCTTCCAAAATCCAAATTTATTTAAAATTCGATTTAATTCCCTGAATTTTGCTCATTTTTGGGTGAATTTTCCCGAATTTTTCACCCAAAAATCCCAATTTTTCCTCCATTTTGGGTGAATTTTCCCAAATTTTCCTTCCCAAATTCCCAATTTTTTTTCCCATTTCCCTTCCCCGAATTGATTTCAACACAAAAAATCCGAATTTAATTAAAATCCGATTTAATTCCCTGAATTTCCATGTTGGCAAAGCCCCAAATTGACCAAATTTTCCCTTTTTTTTCCTCTTTTCCAGGAGAAAATTCCGCTCTGGGTGAGTGAATTTTGCTCTTTTTTATTCCCATTTTTTCTCCTTTATTTCCAAATTTATTCCCATTTTTCCACCATTTTATTCCCTTTTTTTTTTCCCCATTTTCCCCCATTTTATTCCCATTTTTCCACCATTTTATTCCCTTTTTTTCCCCACATTTTATTCCCTTTTTTCCCACTTTATTCCCATTTATTTTCCCTTTTATTCCCCACTTTATTCCCATTTATTTTTCCCATTTTTCTTCACTTTATTCCCTATTTTTTCCTCATTTTTCCCCCACTTTATTCCCATTTTTTTCTCCTTTATTCCCATTTTTCATCCCATTTTTCTTCCCATTTTTCCTCACTTTATTCACATTTTTTTCTCCTTTATTCCCAAATTTATTCCCATTTTCCCCCAATTTTTTCCCACTTTATTCCCATTTATTTTCCCTTTTGTTCCCCACTTTATTCCCATTTTTCTTCCCCATTTTCCTTCACTTTATTCCCTATTTTTTCCTCATTTTTCCCCCACTTTATTCCCTTTTTTCCCCACTTTATTCCCATTTTATTCCCATTTTCCCCCACTTTATTCCCATTTTTTCCCAAATTTATTCCCATTTTTTCCCCAATTTTCCCCCACTTTATTCCCCATTTTTTCCCAAATTTATTCCCATTTTTTCCCAAATTTATTCCCACTTTTTCCCCACTTTATTCCCAAAATTTCCCTCTTTTCCCCCCCTTTTTCCCCAAATTTATTCCCCTTTTTTCCCCATTTTATTCCCATTTTTCCCCACTTTATTCCCATTTTTTCCCAAATTTATTCCCATTTTTTCCCCCAATTTATTCCCATTTTTCCCAAATTTATTCCCATTTTTTCCCCATTTTATTCCCATTTTTCCCCTTTTTTCCCACTTTATTCCCATTTTTCCCCATTTTCCCTTCATTTGCATATTTATTATTCAATATTTAAAATATTACTTTTAATATTTATTATTTCTTATTTTTCCTATTTATTATTCCCCAGGATTTTAATCTCATTTTATTAATTTTATTTATTTTTTGATATTTCAGGTGACTCCAGCTCCAAACTCAGTCAGTTCAAGGCAAAAATCTTCATTTTCGGGGCCATTTTTGGGGGGAAAAATCCCAATTTTTGGTCCGGATGTTCTGAGACCATAAAAAAACCCCAAAAAAATGAAAAAATGATGAAATAATTTTAATTTTCTTGCTTTTTTCCCCTTTTTTCCCAGAGGAACGCGACCGGAAAATCAGTGAGTGACTTTTTTTTGACGATTTTGGGGTAAAAAATTCAAATTTGGGTTAAAAAATCCAAATTTTGGGGTAAAAAAACCTCCAAATTTTGGGGTAAAAAAATCCAAATTTTGGGGTAAAAAAAAATCCAAATTTTGGAGTAAAAACTTCAATATCTGGGGTAAAAAAATTCCAATTTTTGGGTTAAAAATCCAAATTTTGGGGTAAGAAAACCTCCAAATTTTGGGGTAAAAAAAATTCCAAATTTTGGGGTAAAAAAACCCTTAAATTTTGGGTCAAAAAAAAATCCAATTTTTGGGTAAGAAATCCAAATTTTTGGGTAAAAAATCTGAATTTTGGGGTAAAAAAAATCCAAATTTTAGGGTTAAAAAATCCTCCAAATTTTGGGGAAAAAAATCCATTTTTTGGGGTTTAAAATACCCATTTTTGGGGTAAAAAATTCCAAATTTGGGGGTAAAAAACTCCCATTTTGGGGGTAAAAAAACCCCAAATTTTGGGGTAAAAAAAATATTCAAATTTTGGGGTAAAAAAACCCAAATTTTCGGGTAAAAAATACAAATTTTGAAGTGAAAAGTCAAATTTTTGGGGTAAAAAATTCCAATTTTTGGGGTAAAAAATTCCAATTTTTGTGTAAAAAAATCCAAATTATGGGGTAAAAAAAATTCTGAATTTTGGAGTAAACCTCCAAATTTTGTGGTAAAAAAATCCAATTTTTCGGGTAAAAAAATCCAATTTTCCGGGTAAAAAATCCTCAGTCCCATCCTGCCAAAAAAAAAAAAAAATTTTAATAAAATCCCCCAAAATTTCCCCCAAATTCCTGAATTTTCACCGAGAAAAAAATCCAAAATATCCCAAAAAATAAAAAAAAATCTCATTTTTTTCTCCACAGCCAAACTCGCCGCCGAAATCCGTGAGTTTTTACCTCTTTTGATGATTTTGGGTTAAAAAATCTGAATTTTGGGGTTAAAATTCTCGATTTTGGGTTAAAAAAATCTGATTTTTGGGTAAATTCTGGTAATTTTTTTGGGATTAATTCTGATTTTTCCTCGTCTGGCAGGAAGACTCACGGCGCTGTTGGGTATGGACGGAATTCCTTAATTAAACTGCTTTAATTAACGGATTTAATTTTAATTTTCATTTTTGTTTTAGTTTCAATTTTGAATTTTAATTTAATTTTCATTGTAATTTTAATTGTAGTTTTAGTTTTAATGTTAATATTAATTTTAATTCTAATTTTTAATTTTAATTTTAAATTTTAAGTCTAATTTTAATTTTAGTTTCAGTTTTAATTATAATTTTTAATTTCATTTTAACTTTTTAATTTCAATTTTAATTATAATTTCCATTTTCATTTTAGTTTCAACTTCAAATTCTAATTTAGTTTTAATTGTCATTTTATTTTTACTTTTAGTTTTAATTTTAATGTTAATATTAATTTTAATTCTAATTTTAACTTTAATTTTAATTATAATTTTTAATTTCATTTTAATATAATTTTTAATTTTAATATAATTTTTAATTTTAATTTCTGTTTTAATTTTAGTCCTAATTTTAATGTTAATGTTAATTTTAATATTAAGTTTATTTTAGTTTTAATTTATTTTTACTTTTACCTTTTATTTTCATTTTCATTCTAATTTTAATTTTAACGTTAATATTAATTTTAATTTAATTTCTAAGTTTAAAACTTTTATATTAGTTTTAATTTTAACTTTTAATTTTAGTTTTAATTTAATTTTTTGGGGATGAAAATGGCAGAAAATTGGGAATTTTTGGATTGGGAGGAAAATTTGGAATCTGGGAAATAATTGGGAATTTTTGGAGATTTTTTGGGTCGTTTTTTCCTCATTTTGGGAAGCGAAAACCCCCAAAAAATTCTGATTTTTGGTGTTTTTTCCTCCTTTTTTCCACAGCCGAGCGCGACTCCGGCCTCCGTAAGTGCCGAAATTCCCCCAAATTTCCTCCGTCCTAATTAATTCATCATTAATTAATTCACAACAATTAATTAATATTTAACAAAAATAAAATTAACATAATTTTAAATTATTCTTGTGGTTTTATTAATAATATTTTCATGGTATTAATGATTAAAATTCAATATATTCGCCCTTAAAATTCAATATATTTGTACTTAGTTAATGCTTATATTAAAATTTATTATGCAAATGAGTAAAATTTATTATGCTAATGAGCACCATTTATTAATCTGATGAATAAAAATGGGTTTTATTGATATTTATATTTAATTTTTTGTCATTTTTTTCTGTTTTTAGGGAAGCTCCGAGCGGAGCTCGGTGAGTGATGGAAAAAATGAGCCGGAAACAGAAAATTTCATCATTTTTAATTTTATTTTTTATTTTTTAATTTAAATTTTTTTTTGTAGTTTTTCAATTTTTTAAAAATTTAATTTTAATTTTTATTTATGTTTTTTTTGTTTTCATTTTAGTTTCTATTATTATTTAGTATTTCTTTCGTATTTTTAAATTTTATTTATTTACTTATTTTTTATTTTTTATTTTTATAAATTTTTTAAATTTTTAAATTTTTAATTTTTTAAATTTTCTATTTTAATTGGAAATTTTTAATTCAAATTTAAAATTTTAAATATTTTTTTTCCCCCGCAGCCAAATGCGACGCCACCATCCGTGAGTGTGAAAAATCCCAAAATTACACAAAATTTGGGGGGAAAATCCCAAAATTCCAGAATTTTGGAAAAATTCTGTTAATTTTACAGAATATTGGGGAAAAAAAAAATCCCAGAATTTCAGAATATTTTGGGGGGAAAATCCCAGAATTTCACAGAATTCGGGGGAAAGGATTTAAATTTTATGGAATTTTGGGGGGAAATTCCAAAATTTCACAGAAATTTGGGGTGAAATCCCAAAATTTGGGGAAAAATCCCAGAATTTCACAACATTTTGGGTGGGAAATTCCAGAATTTCACAGATTTTTGGGAGAAAATTCCAGAATTTCACAGAATTTGGGGTGAAAATCCCAAAATTTGGGGGGAAAATCCCAAAATTCCGCAGAATTTGGGGGGAAAATTCCAAAATTTCAAAGATTTTGGGGTGAAAATCCCAAAATGTGGGGGAAAATCCCGGAATTTAATAAAATTTCGAGGGGAAAATTCTGGAATTTCACAGAATTTGGGGGGAAAATCCCAAAATTTGGGGAAAATTCCAGAATTTCACAGAATTTTGGGGGGAAAATTCCAGAATTTGACAGAATTTGAGGGGAAAAAATCCAAAATTTTGGGTGAAATTAACGGAATTTGGCGATTCCAGGGATCTTCACGGTGGAGCTCGGTGAGTCCCGTCCTGTCCCCGCCCCTCGTTAATTAATCCTTCGTTAATTAACGTGGAAAAAACCAAAATTTGGATTTTTTTCCTTTTTTTCCAGGCGAGCGCCACACGAAAATCGGTGAGTTTGGGGCTTTTGTGCCCCAAAAATTCCCCAAATATGGGAAAAAAGAGGAAATGAAAATTTGATCAAAATTCTCTTTTTTTCCCCCATTTTCCAGGGGAGCTCACGGCCGATGTGGGTGAGTTTGAATTTTATTTTTCTTTTACATTTATTTTTATCTTTTTTATTTTAAATTTTTTAAAATTTAAATTTATTTTATTTTATAGTTATTTTATAGTTTATTTTTACTTTATTTTATTTATATTTATTTATTTGTATTTACCTAAATTTATTTTTATTTTTCTGTTTCTATTTCTATTTTTATTTTTATTTTATTTTTATTTTAGATTACTTTAATTTTATTTTTGTTTTTAGCTTTATATTTATTTTTATGTTTTATACTTTATTCTAATTTTTATTCTAATTTTATTTTACCTTTATTTTTATTTTTATTCTAATTCTATTTTACTTTTATTTTTATTTTTCTTTTTATTTTTATTCTAATTCTATTTTACCTTTATTTTTATTTTTATATTCTAATTTTTTTTACCTTTATTTTAATTTTTTAGTTTTAGTTTTACTTTCAGTTTAATTTTGTTTTTATTTTACCTCTATTTTTATGATTTCTATTTTATTTTTCCTTTTATTCTTTATTTTTTATTTTAATTTTTTTCCTTTAGTTATAGTTTTATTTTTATGTTTATTTTAGTTTTATTTTAGTTTTATTTTTTATTTTCTGTTTAATTTTTCTTCTTATGTTTATATTTTATGTTTGTTATTATTTTTATATTAATTTTTATTTTTAATCTTTATTTATTTTTTATTTTTATTTTTATTTTTATTTCCAGAGGCTTTCACCAAACAACTCCGTGAGTGCCAAAATTCCCATTTTTCACATTTTCCTTTCCGTAATTCCCGAAATTATTCAGGAATAATAAAATAGAAATAGTCGGGATTAATTAGAAATATTAATCAGAAATAATTAGAAATATTTATCAATCATTAATTAGAAATATTTGTTAATAATTAGAAATATTCTGGGATTATTAAAAATATTTAGGAATAATTAATCAGAAATATTCAAAAATAATTAGAAATATTTATGAATAATCAATTAGAATTATTTGGAAATAATTCAAAATATTTGGGAATAATTAAATGTAAATATTTGTTAAGAATTATAAATATTCAGGAATAATTTGAAATATTCAGGAATAATTTGAAATATTCAGGAATAATTAGAAACATTTGGGAATAATTATAAATATTCAGGAATTATTAGAAATATATAGGAATAATTAGAAATCTTTATTATTAATTAATTATAAATATTCAGGAATAATTAAAATTATTTGGGAATAATAATTATAAATATCCAGGAATAATTAAAATTATTTAGGAAAAAATAATTATAAACATTCATGAATAATTAGAAATATTCAGGAATAATTAGAAACAGGAAGGAATAACTAATTATAAATATTTGGGAATTATTATAAATATTTAGGAATAATTAGAAATATTTCGTGCATAATTAATGATAAATGTTTATGAATAATTAGAAATATTCAGGAATAATTAATTATAAATATTCAAGAATAATTAGAAATATTCAGGAATAATTAGAAACATTGAGGAATAACAAATTAAAAATATTCAGGAATAATTAGATTTAATTGGGAGTAATTAATGATAAATATTCAGGGAAAATTAATAATAAATATTAATGAATAATTAGAAATATTCTGATTTTTCCTCAGAGGCTCGGGACGCCCAAATCCGTGAGTACCCCCGGGAATTTTGGGAATTTTGGGGGATTTTGGGAATTTTTGGGGGTTTTGGGGGATTTTGGGGGTTTTTGGGATGAAAGAAGCAAAAATAAATTGATTTTCCATATTTATTTTTTAATTTTTTAAGCAATTATTTCCGGTTATTTATTTTCCCAATATGAAATTTAATTTCCGTCGGAATTTTTGCCGTTTTTGTGGAATTATTTCCATTTTAGGTGTTTTTTTTTTAATAATGATTTATGGTAATAATTTTATTTTTTTTAGGGGAAAATGAAGCTGAGATCGGTACGTCAGATTTGGGTTTATATTTATATTTATATTTATATTTATATTTATATTTATATTTATATCAATATTTATATTTATATTTATATTTATATTTATATTTATATTTATATTTAATGCTATCAATAAATTTGGGTTTTTTACTTTGAATTTTACTTTAAATTTTAGTTTTAATTTTAATTCCAATTTTACTTTTCATTTTACATTTTAAATTAATTTTTAATTTTACTTTTGATTTTAATTTCAATTTTAATTTCAATTTTACTTTTGCTTTTAATTTTAATTTTTGATTTTAATTTTAATTTCAATTTTACTTTTGCTTTTAATTTTAATTTTTAATTTTAATTTTAATTTTAATTTTAATTTTAATTTTAATTTCTTTCTGCTTCCCCCAGGCTACCTGAAGGAGCTGCTGGGTGAGTGTCAGAGTGCAGAAAAATATTCTTATTAATTAATTAATTAATTAATTAATTAATAATTTTATAATTATAATTATTAATTAACAAAATAGTAATTACACAGCATTATTAAATTATTATAATTAATAATTAAATAATTCTGATTAATAATTACATAATTTTGAAAGAATTATATAAGTAAATAATAATATAATAACTAATAATGAAATAATTATAATTGATAATTAAATTATCACAATTAACTATTAAATTATCACAATTAGCTATTAAATAATTATTGATCAACTAATATTAATATAATAATTAATTTTCTTTCTTTTCAGGAGAAAGGGACTCTGTTATCCGTAAGTGGGGAAAAAAAATCCCAAATTTATTTAAATTAAGGAAAAATGAGGGAATTTTGGCCCCAAAAAAATCCCAAAATAAATTAAATTATATTTGAAAAAAAATTAAGAATTAATAGGTACAAACCCCCTGTTCTTGGGAAGGGAAAAAAAATCAATTAAAAATAATTTAATTTTCATTTTTTTAAGGAAAAATGAGGGAGGAGCTCGGTGAGTGAAATTCTTTTTGTTTCCTAAAAATATTTGGAATTTTGGGCATTTTTTGGGAAGGGAAATTTGGATTTATTTTCCTGTTTTATTTTGATTTTTTGCAGAGGCGCTGAAGGATTTTGGTACGTGCTAATTAATTTTTAATTGAGGTTTTAATTAATGCTTTAAATGTTATATTATGTTATATATCACTAATAAGTCATTAATTAACCAATTAATTCGCTGATGTTTATTCCCGATAAACAACTGACGGCCCTAATTTGCATATTTTTGCATGGCAATTTCAAACTACGTATCAATCTCTATAATATCCATAATATTATAATTAACATATATCGCTAATAAGTCATTAATTAATCCATTAATTCACTGATGTTTATTCCCAATAAACAACTGACGGCCCTAATTTGCATATTTTTGCATGGCGGTTTCAAACTACATATCAATCTCTATAATATTATAATTAACATATATCACTAATAAGTCATTAATTAATCAATTAATTCGCTGATGTTTATTCCCGATAAACAACTGACGGCCCTAATTTGCATATTTTTGCATGGCGGTTTCAAACTACATATCAATCTCTATAAAATCCATAATATTATAATTAACATATATCACTAATAAGTCATTAATTAATCAATTCATTCGCTGATGTTTATTCCCGATAAACAACTGACGGCCCTAATTTGCATATTTTTGCATGGCGGTTTCAAACTACATATCAATCTCTATAATATCCATAATATTATAATTAACATATATCACTAATAAGTCATTAATTAATCCATTAATTCGCTGATGTTTATTCCCGATAAACAACCGACGGCCCTAATTTGCATATTTTTGCATGGCGACTCCTGCGGGTTTCAGACGGACTCCCCGAGGAGGAAGAGGAAGAGGAAATGGAGGAGGAAGAGGAAGAGGAAAAACAGGAAGAGGAAGAGGCGGAAGAGGAAGAGGAAGAGGCGGAACAGGAAGAGGAAGAGGCAGAAGAGGAAGAGGAAGAGGAAGAACAGGAAGAGGAAATAAATGAGGAGGAAGAGGAAGAAGAAAAAGAGGAAGTGGAGGAGGAAATGGAGGAAGAGGAAGAGGAAGAGGAGGAAAAAGAGGAGGAAGAGGAGGAGGAAAAACAGGAAAAGGAAGTGGAGGAAGAGGAAGTGGGTCAGTCCAAAAATAAAGGAAAAATGAAATTATAAAAACAACAACAGTAATAATTATAATAATAAAATTGAAAATTAAAATCAAATTTTATATAATAATAATAATAATAATAATTAAAAACATCAGTAACAATCATAATAATAAAAATGAAAATTAAAATCAAAATTTAAAATAAAATAAAATATAATAATAATAATAATGAGCATCATCTCCTAAACCCCATTCCATTCTTTTAACTTATTTTGAATTCTTTTAAATTCTTCTAAATTATTTTGAATTATTTTCAATTATTTTAACTTTTTTTTCTTCCTTGTTTTCAGGAGAAATCGACAAAACCTTGGGTGGGTTCAATTCCCATTTCTGCGGCGGATCCGAAGGAAAAATATCCCAAAAAAATCCAAATTTCCAAAAAAAACAATTCCCAAATAATCCAAATTTCCAAAAAACAAAAAAACCCAAAATAATCCAAATTTCCAGAAAAAAGTCCCCAAAAAAATCCAAATTTCAACCAAAAAAACCCAAAATAATCATAATTTCCACCAAAAAAATCCCCAAAATAATCCAAATTTCCACAAAAAAAACCCAGAAAAATCTAAATTTCCACCCAAAAACCCCAAAAAATCCGAATTTCCACCCAAAAAATTCCCAAAAATCCAAATTTCTGCCAAAAAAAATCCCTAAAAATCCGAATTTCCAGAAAAAAATCTCCAAAATAATCCAAATTTCCACCAAAAAAAATAAAAAAAATCAAAATTTCCACAAAAAAATCCCCAAAAAAATCCAAATTTCCACCAAAAAAATCCCCAAATAATCCAAATTTCTTCCAAAAAAATCCCAAAAAATCCAAATTTCTGCCAAAAAAATCTCCAAAATAATCCAAATTTCCACCAAAAAAAAATCCAAAAAAAAAATTAAAATTTCCACAATAAAATCCCCAAAAAAATCCAAATTTCCACCCAAAAAATCCCGAAATAATCCAAATTTTTTTGCTTTCCAGAGGAGCTCAGGACGGCGTTGGGTGAGTCCAGAATTCCAAATTCAAATTTAATTTAAAATTTGGTTTTTCAATTAATACATCACCTTATTATTTAAATATTTATGTAAATAATAATTAAATTATTATTTTATTTAAATATATTATCACAGGTAATGCAGATGTAAATAATATTTTATTTATCATTTTTTTGGCCATAATAATTTGAATTTTTGCCCAATTTTCCACTGTAATTTACTCTATTATGTCATTAAATACATTATTTTATTTATGTTTTATTATTTTATTTATTTTATTAAATATGTACTAAAATATACAAATATTTTAAAGGCGGTAAAGATGTAAATAATATTTTATTTCTCTTTTTTTGGGATAATATTTTGAATTTTTCCCAATTTTCCACTTTATTTTACTATATTATGTATTTAAATAAATTATGTTTTTAAATTTATCCTATTTAAATAATATTTTATTTCTTTTTTTAGGGATAATATTTTTAATTTTTCCCAATTTTCCACTTTATTTTACTATATTATGTATTTAAATAAATTATATTTTTTAAATTTATCGTATTTAATTATATTATATATTTTAATAATATTTTATTTCTCTTTTTTTGGGATAATAATTTGAATTTTTACCCAATTTTCCACAGAACAACGGGACAGAGAGATCGGTGAGAGTCCCAAAAATGGGAATTTTTTACTTTATTTTATATTTAAATAAATCAATATTTTCAAATATATCCTATTTAAATATATATAATATAATATAATATAATATATTTAAATAAATATTGTCTGTTTAAATTTACAAATACTAAATGCAGTAGAGATTTAAATAATATTTTATTTCCCTTTTTTTGGGATAATATTTTGAATTTTTCCCAATTTTCCACTTTATTTTACTATATTATGTATTTAAATAAATTATATTTTTTAATCTAACCTATTTTAATATATTATATATTAAAATAATATTTTATTTCTCTTATTTTGGGATAATAATTTGAATTTTTACCCAATTTTCCACAGAACAACGGGACAGAGAGATCGGTGAGTGTCCCAAAAATGGGAATTTTTTACTCTAATTTATATTTAAATAAATCAATATTTTCAAATATATCCTATTTAAATATATATAATAAAATATAGTGTATTTAAATATATTTTTATATATTTAAATATGCAAATATCAACGGCATTACAGATGTAAATAATATTTTATTTCTCTTTTTTTTGGGAATAATATTTTGAATTTTTCCCAATTTTCCACTTTATTTTACTATATTATCTATTTAAATAAATTATGTTTTTAAATTTGTCCTATTTAAATGTATTATATATTTAAATAGTATTTTATTTATTTTTTTTGGGATAATATTTTGAATTTTTCCCAATTTTCCACTTTATTTTACTATATTATGTATTTAAATAAATTATATTTTTAAATTTATCATATTTTAATATATCATATATTAAAATAATATTTTATTTCTCTTTTTTTGGGATAATAATTTGAATTTTTGCCCAATTTTCCACAGAACAACGGGACAGAGAGATCGGTGAGTGTCCCAAAAATGGGAATTTTTTACTCTATTTTATATTTAAATAAATCAATATTTTCAAATATATCCTATTTAAATATATATAATATAATATAGTGTATTTAAATATATTTTTATATATTCAAATATGCAAATATCAACGGCATTACGGATGTAAATAATATTTTTTTCTCTTTTTTTAGGATAATATTTTGAATTTTTCCCAATTTTCCACTTTATTTTACTATATTATGTATTTAAATAAATTATGTTTTTAAATTTATCCTATTTAAATGTATTATATATTTAAATAATATTTTATTTCTTTTTTTTGGGATAATATTTTGAATTTTTCCCAATTTTTCACTTTATTTTCCTATGTTATGGATTTAAATAAATTATATTTTTAAATTTATCATATTTAAATATATTATATATTAAATTAATATTTTATTTCTCTTTTTTTGGGATAATAATTTGAATTTTTACCCAATTTTCCACAGAACAACGGGACAGAGAGATCGGTGAGTGGCCCAAAAATGGGAATTTTTTACTCTATTTTATATTTAATAAATTATATTTTTAAATATGTATTTAAATATTGAGATATGAAAGGGATTACAGATGTAAATAATATTTTATTTCTCTTTTTTTGGGATAATAATTTGAATTTTTGCCCAATTTTCCATAGAACAACGGGACAGAGAGATCGGTGAGTGTCCCAAAAATGGGAATTTTTTACTCAATTTTATATTTAATAAATTATATTTTTAAATATTGATATATGAAAGGCATTAAAGATGTAAATAATATTTTATTTCTCTTTTTTTGGGATAATAATTTGAATTTTTGCCCAATTTTCCACAGAACGACGGGACAAACAGATCGGTGAGTGGCCCAAAAAAAATGGGAATTTGGGGAAAATTGGGAATTTTGGAAATGGGAATTTTTGGGAAGTAATGAGAATTTTGGAAATGGGAATTTGGGAAATAATGGGAATTCAAAAATAATTGGATTTTTTGAGAAATAATGAGAATTTTCTGGAAATAATGAGAATTTTGGAAATAAGAATTTCGGGAATAATGGAAATTTTGTTAATGGGAATTTGGGAAATAATTGGAATTTCGGGAATAATGGGAATTTTTGAAATAATGGGAATTTTCAGGAAAAAAAGGGAATTTTCAGGAAAAAATGACAATTTTGGGAATGGGAATTTGGGAAAAATGGGATTTTCTGCCAGAACATGGAATTTCCTCACGGAAATTCTCATTTTTTCCTCATGAAAATTCCCATTTTTCCTACGGAAATTCCCATTTTTCATCCCGGAAATTCCAATTTTTCCGCCCAAAATTTCCAATTTTTCATCCCAGAAATTCCAATTTTTCATCCCAGAAATTCCCATTTTTCCTCACGGAAATTCCCATTTTTCCTCCCAAAAATTCCAATTTTTCATCCCAGAAATTCCCATTTTTCCTCACGGAAATTCCCATTTTTCCTCACGGAAATTCCCATTTTTCCTCCCAAAAATTCCCATTTTTCCTCACGGAAATTCCCATTTTTCATCACGGAAATTCCAATTTTTCCTCCCAAAAATTCCAATTTTTCATCCCAGAAATTCCCATTTTTCCTCCCAGAAATTCCCATTTTTCCTCACGGAAATTCCCATTTTTCCTCCTTTTCCAGCCGAGATGAACGCCGAGCTGGGTGAGTCCTTAATTACAAAAATAATTAATTTTTCTATTTTTTTAATTTTAATTACTTAATTAATCCCAATTAATTTTCTATTCCCAGAGGAATCTCGATTAAGGATCTGTGAGTATCCCGGGCCTTCTTTAATTCTGTTTTATTCTGGTTTTTTTCCTTCATTTTTCTCCTTAATTTCATTTTTTTTCCTATTTTACTCTAATTTTTTCATTTTAATGTTATTATTTTTAATTAATTTTATATTTTTATGGTTTTTTCTGCTCTTTTTTATGATTTCCCGCAGGGTGGTGCCTCGAGGAGCACCGTGAGTGTTTTCCCAACTTATTTGTTAATTTAATTAATAGTAAATACATACTAAAATTAATAAGAATGTATAATTTAAATTATATAAATATAATTATATAAATCATATAAAAACAAAATTATTGACATTTTATAGGAATATAATTCTGTCATTATAAGTATTTAAATATATTTTAAATATAATGTAAACTAAAAAAATATAAATTTTAGTATCTAAATTAAAAATATTTAATTAATATTAAAATTAATGTAAATGTATAATTTAAATTATATTAGTATAACTATATAAATTATATTTTTAAAAATTATTTAAATTACATATGAATGAAATTCTATACTTTTCACTATGTAAATAGAATTTAAATTGAATATAAATTATAAAAATATAAGTTTTAGTGTAACATTTAAAATATTAAATGAATATTAAAATTAATATAAATATAATTTACACGATATAAACATAGTTCTAGAAATTATATTAAAATAAAATTATTTAAATAAACATAATTTTAATATAAAATTCAAAAACATTAAATCAATATTCAAAATTAATTTATTATTTCTCTCATTTTAGGGAAAGAAGAAGAAAAAGTTGGTGAGTCCCTGTGGAAAGAGGAAAAATTCCGAATTTTTGCCTGGTTTCACCTTTTTTTAATCCACTTTTTTTCCCCTTTTTTCCTCTTTTTTCTCCTTTTTTTCCCCATTTTTCCCCATTTCTCCCCCAATTTCCCCCAATTTCCCCATTTCCCCCATTTCTCCCCCAATTTCCCCCCATTTTCCCCCCATTTTCCCCCTAATTCCCCCCAATTTCTCCCCCAATTTCCCCCCCAATTTCCCCCCAATTTTTCCCATTTCCCCCCCATTTTCCCCATTTCCCCCCATTTCCCCCCAATTTCCCCCCATTTTCCCCATTTACCCCCCTAATTCCCCCCATTTTCCCCCTAATCCCCCCAAATTCCCCCCAAATCCCCCCAATTCCCCCCAATTCCCCCCAATTTCCCCCATTTCCCCCAATTTTCCCCATTTTCCCCCCAATTTTCCCTATTTTTCCCCCTAATTTCCCCCATTTGCCTCCCCATTTCTTCTCCAAATTCCCCATTTCCCCCTCATTTCTCCCCCAATTCCCCCCCAATTTTCCCTATTTTCCCCCTAATTCCTCCCAATTTTCTCCCAATTTTCCCTAATTCCCCCAATTCCCCCCAATTTCCCCCCAATTTTCCCCTTAATCTCCCCCAATTCTCCCCATTTCCCCCCCGTTTCCCCCCTCATTTCTCCACCATTTCCCCCCATTTTTCCCCCATTTCCCCCCAATTTCCCCACATTTCCCTCCCAATTCCCCCAAATTTTCCGTATTTTCCCCCTATTTCCCCCCAATTCCCCCAATTTCCCCCCCATTTCCCCCCAATTTCCCCCCAATTTCTCTCATTTTCCCCCCCAATTTTTACCAAATTTCCCCCCATTTCCCCCAAATCCCCCCAATTTCCCCCCATTTCCCCCCAATTTCCCCCAAACCCCCCAAATCCCCCCAATTCCCCCTAATTTTCCCCCAATTTTCCCCATTTCCTCCCATTTTCCCCCAATCCCCCCCAAATCCCCCCAATCCCCCCCAATTCCTCCCATTTTCCCCCCAATTTTCCCTAATTCCCCCCAATTTCCCCCAAATTCTCTCCCATTTTCCCCATTTCCCCCCAATTTTCCCTAATTCCCCCCAATTTCCCCCCCATTTTCCCCCTCATTTCTCTACCATTTCCCCCCATTTTTCCCCCAAATTCTCCCCCATTTTTCCCCTCATTTCTCCACCAATTTGCCCCCCAATTTACCCCCATTTTCCCCCATTTTCTCCCCAATTTCCCCCAATTTCTCTCATTTTTCCCCCCCAATTCCCCCCAATTTCCCCCCAATTCATCCCCATTTCTCCCCCCATTTCCCCCCATTTTCCCTCCATTTTTCCCCCAATTCATCCCCATTTCCCCTATTTTCCCCCCAATTTCCCCCCAATTTACCCCCTAATTCCCCCCAATTTCCCCCCAATTTTCCCCATTTCTCCCCCAATTTTCCCCCCAATTCCCCCCAATTTCCCCCCAATTTTCCCTAATTCCCCCCAATTTCCCCCCAATTTCTCTCATTTTTCCCCCCAATTTCCCCCCAATTTATCCCAAATTTCCCCCCCCATTTTTCCACATCTTCTCCCCCATTCCCCCATTTTCCTTCATTTTCTCCCCCATTTACCCCAAATTTCCCCCCATTTTCCCCCAATTTCCGCCCCGTTTGCCCCCTCATTTCTCCACAATTTTCACCCCATTTCTCCACCATTTTCACCCCATTTCCTCCCATTTTCCCCATTTCCCCCCAAATTTCCCCCCAATTTTCCCTATTTTCCCCCTAATTCCCCTCAATTTTCCCTATTTTCCCCCCAATTTTCCCCATTTCCCCCCAATTTCCCCCCTATTTCCCCCTAATTCCCCCCAATTTCCCCCCCAATTTCCCCCCAATTTTCCCTATTTTCCCCCATTTACCCCCAATTTCCCCCGATTTCCCCCAATTCCCCCCAATTTCCCCCCAATTTTCCCCATTTTCCCATTTCCCCCCCATTTCCCCCCAATATTCCCTATTTTCCCCATTTCCCCCCCAATTTCCCCCTAATTCCCCCCAATTTTCCCTATTTTCCCCCCAATTCCCCCCAATTTCCCCCCAATTTTCCCTATTTTCCCCCTAATTCCTCCCAATTTTCCCCCAATTTTCTCTATTTTCCCCCCAATTCCCCCCAAAACCCCCCAATTCCTCCCCAATTTCCCCCTAATTCCCCCCAATTCCCCCCTTTCCCCCCCAATTCCTCCCATTTCCCCCCATTTCCCCCCAATTTCCCCCCAATTTCCCGCCTTTTTCCCTATTTTGCCCCCATATTTCCCCCCCAATTTTCCCTAATTCCCCCCAATTTTCCCCCAAATTCTCCCCCATATTCCCCCTCATTTTTCCACCATTTTCACCCCATTTTCCCCCCAATTTTCCCTAATTCCCCCCAATTTTTCCCCCTAATTCCCCCCATTTCCCCCCCATTTTCCCACCAATTTCCCCCCAATTTCTCTCATTTTTCCCCCCCAACTTTTACCAAATTTTCCCCCCCAATTCCCCCCATTTCTCCCCCAATTTCCCCCTAATTCCCCCAATTTCCCCCCATTTTCCCCATTTCCCCCCCAATTTCCCCCCAATTTTCCCCATTTTCCCCCCAATTCCTCCAATTTCCCCCCAATTTCCCCCTAATTCCCCCCAATTTTTCCCTTTTTCCCCCCAATTTCCCCCCCATTTTCCCCCTCATTTCTCCACCATTTCCCCCCATTTTCCCTCCATTTTCCCCCAAATTCTCCCCCATTTTTCCCCTCATTTCTCCACCAATTTGCCCCCTAATTCCCCCCAATTTCCCCCCATTTTCCCCATTTCTTCCCCCTATTTCCCCCCAATTTTTACCAAATTTTCACCCAATTTCCCCCCATTGCCCCCAATTTCCCTCCAATTTCCCCCCTAATTCCCCCCAATTCCCCCCAATTCCCCCCAATTTCCCCCCCATTTTCCCCCTCATTTCTCCACCATTTTCACCCCATTTCTCCCCATTTTCCCCCCCAATTTCCCACCTTTTTCCCGATTTTTCCCCATATTTCCCCCATTTCCCTCCCCATTTCTCCCCCCATTTTCCCCCCATTTTCCCCCAAATTCTCCCCCATTTTTCCCCTCATTTCTCCACCAATTTGCCCCCCAATTTCCCCCCAATTCTCCCCATTTCCCCCCAATTCCCCCCCAATTTCTCTCATTTTTCCCCCCAATTTTTTACCAAATTTCCCCCCAATTTCCCCCTAATCCACCCCAAATCCCCCCAATTCCCCCCAATTCCCCTCATTTCTCCACCAATTTCCCCCCCAATTTCCCCCAATTTTCCCCAATTTCCCCCCAATTTCTCTCATTTTTCCCCCCAATTTCCCCCGAATTTCCCCCCAATTTTCCCTAATTCCCCCCAAATCCCCCCAATTTCCCCCCAAACCCCCCAAACCCCCCCAAACCCCCAGCCCACATCACCCTGGACCCCCTCACCTCCCACCCCCGCCTGGTGCTCTCCTCGGACGGCCTCTCGGCGCGTTGGCGCTACGGCGGCGCCGATCCCCCGGCGAGCGCCGATCGCTTCACCGCGTCCCCGTGCGTCCTCGGCAGCCCCGGCTTCACCGCCGGCCGCCACACCTGGACGGTCTCGGTGGCCGAGGGGCCGTTCTGCGCCGTCGGCGTCAGCCGCGACTCGGTGCCGCGCCAAAACCCGTCGGCGTCTTTCGGCCCCGCCGCCGGCGTTTGGGCCGTGCAGCGTTGGGGGAACCTCGGCCGGGCGTTGACGGAGCCGCCGACGGCGCTGGCGGTGCCGCGGGTGCCGCGCCGGCTGCGCGTGGCGCTGGACTACGACGGAGGGCGCGTGGCGTTCTTCGACGGCGACCGGCGCAGCCCCACGCCGCTCTTCGCCTTCCCGGCCGCCGCCTTCGCCGGGGAGCGCGTCCGGCCCTGGTTCTGGTTGGAGCTGGGGGAGATTTCCATCGTGCGGTGACGCCGGAATCCCGCTGGAATTCCGTCGTTGGGCTCCCATCCTTGAGTGGTCCCAGAGTTTCGTCATCCTTCGATTCGGGAATTCCATTGTTCAGTGATGCCGGAATTCCATCATACAATAATCCCGGAATTCCATCAGATGGTGATCCTGGAATTCCATCGTCCAATGATCCCAAAATTCCATCGTCCGATGATCTCGGAATTCCATTGTTCAATAATCCTGGAATTCCGTTGTTCACTGATCCTGGAATTCCATTGTCCAATAATTCTGGAATTCCATTGTTCAGTGACCCTCAAATTCCGTCATCCAATAATTCTGGAATTCCATCATCCTGTGATCCTGGAATTCTATTGTTACATGATCCTGGAATTCCTTCGTTCAATAATCCTGGAATTCCATTGTTCGGTAATGCCGGAATTCCGTCATTCAGTGATCCCGGAATTCCATCATACAATAATCTTGGAATTCCATGGTTCAGTGATCCTGGAATTCCAGCGTGCGATAATCCTGGAATTCCATTGTTCAATAATCCTGGAATTCCATCATCCTGTGATCCTGGAATTCCATCGTGCGGTGACGCCGGAATCCCGCCGGAATTCCGTCGTTGGGCTTCCATCCTAGAGTGGTGCCGGAGTTTCGTCGTCCTTCGATTTGGGAATTCCATCGTCCGGTGATGCCGGAATTCCAGCATGCAATAATCCTGGAATTCCATGGTTCGGTGATCCTGGAGTTCCATTGTCCAATAATTCTGGAATTCCTTCGTTCCATAATCCTGGAATTCCATCATCCAATAATCCTGGAATTCCATCGTCCAGTGATCCCGAAATTCCATCGGCCAGTGATCCTGGAATTCCATCATACAACAATCCTGGAATTCCATCATCCTGTGATCCCAGAATTCCATTGTCCAGTAATTCTGGAATTCCACTGTCCAATGATCCCGAAATTCCATCGGCCGGTGATCCTGGAATTCCATCGTCCGATGATCTCGGAATTCCGTCGTTCGGTGATGCCGGAATTCCATCCTTCAATAATCCTGGAATTCCTTTGTTCGGTGATCCTGGAATTCTATCATACAATAATCCTGGAATTCTATTGTTGAATAATCCTGGAATTCCATCACCTAATGATCCCAAAATTCCATCGTCCGGTGATCCCGAAATTCCATTGGCCGGTGATCCTGGAATTCCATCAGATGGTGATCCTGGAATTCCATCGTTCGGTGATCCCGGAATTCCATCATACAATAATCCTGGAATTCCATCACCTAATGATCCCAAAATTCCATCGTCCAGTGATCCTGAAATTCCATTGGCCGGTGATCCTAGAATTCCATCAGATGGTGATCCTGGAATTCCATCCTCCGGTAATGCTGGAATTCCATCGTCCGGTGATGCCGGAATTCCATCATTTGGTGATGCCGAAATTCCAGCGTGCAATAATCCTGGAACTCCATGGTTCAGTGATCCTGGAATTCCATCATCCAATAATCCTGGAATTCCATCATCCAATGATCCCAAAATTCCATCGTCCAGTGATCCTGAAATTCCAGCATACAATAATCCTGGAATTCCATGGTTCAGTGATCCTGGAATTCCAGCACGCGATAATCCTGGAATTCCTTTGTTCAATAATCCTGGAATTCCATTGTTCAGTGATCCTGGAATTCCAGCATACAATAATCCTGGAATTCCATTGTTCGGTGATGCCGGAATTCCGTCATTGGGTGATGCCGGAATTCCATCATACAATAATCCTGGAATTCCATGGTCCGGTGATCCTGGAATTCCATCAGATGGTGATCCTGGAATTCCATTGTTCGGTGATGCCGGAATTCCATCGTTTGATGATGCCGGAATTCCATCATACAATAATCCTGGAATTCCATTGTTCAGTGACCCCGGAGTTCCATTGTCCAATAATTCTGGAATTCCATCAGACGGTGATGCCGGAATTCCGTCGTTCGGTGATCCCGAAATTCCATCATACAATAATCCCGGAATTCCATCATTTTATGATCCCAAAATTCCATCGTCCGGTGATCCCAAAATTCCATCAGATGGTGATCCTGGAATTCCATCATGCAATAATCCTGGAATTCCATGGTTCAGTGATCCTGGAATTCCAGCATACAATAATCCTGGAATTCCATCATCCGGTGATGCCGGAATTCCGTCGTTGGGCTGGCCCGGAATCCCGTCCTCCAGTGGTGCCGGAGTTTCGTCATCCTTCGATTCGGGAATTCGATCGTTCGGTGATGCCGGAATTCCGTCGTTGGGTGATGCCAGAATTCCATCATACAATAATCCTGGAATTCCTTTGTTCAATAATCCTGGAATTCCATTATTCAGTGATCCTGGAATTCCAGCATGCAATAATCCTGGAATTCCATCATCCAGTGATCCTGGAATTCCATTATTCAGTGATCCTGGAATTCCAGCATGCAATAATCCTGGAATTCCCTTGTCTAGTGACCCCGGAATTCCATTGTCCAGTAATTCTGGAATTCCACTGTCCAATGATACGGAAATTCCATCATCCAGTGATCCTGGAATTCCGTTGTTCAATAATCCTGGAATTCCAGCATGCAATAATCCTGGAATTCCATCCTCCTGTGATCCCGGAATTCCATCATCCAGTGATCCTGGAATTCCATCAGATGGTGATCCTGGAATTCCATCATGCGATAATCCTGGAATTCCATTCTTCAATAATCCCGGAATTCCATCATCTAATGATCCCGGAATTCCATCGTCCAGTGATCCTGAAATTCCATCGGCCGATGATCCCGGAATTCCATCCTCCAGCGATCCCGGAATTCCATCATCCAATAATCCTGGAATTCCATCGTTCGGTGATCTTGGAATTCCATCATTGTCCGCGATCCCGGAATTCCATCCTCCAGCGATCCTGGAATTCCATCATCCGTAGATTCCACGGAATTCCCGACCTGGGAAGCTCATCCCGACTTTGGGGTTCCGCTTTTGGGGGGAGCTGGACTCCCTCCCTGGAGCCGCGACCCCGGAATTCCGGGAATTCCGGGAATTCTGCGATCCCGCCCGGCCGGAACCCCTCGGAATTCCGGGAATTCTGCGATCCCGCCCGGCCGGAACCCCTCGGAATTCCGGGAATTCCGGGAATTCCCACCCGGCCGGAACCCTTCGGAATTCCGGGAATTCCGCGATCCCGCCTGGCCGGAACCCCTCGGAATTCCCAATAAAATCCTCCGGAGCTCAAATTCCTTTTTCCGGCTGTTTTGACTCGAAAATTCGGGAATTTTGGGGAGAAAAACGCGGATTTTTGGCGTTTTTGGGGTTTCCACGTCGGGTTGGGTTTGGGATGAGGAGGAAAAAACCGGGAATGGGATCAGGACCGGGAATTGTCTCCTCAATCCTTGGATTCATCGAGGAGATTTGAGGGGTCCAGGGATGGGGACATCCCCCCAAAATCTGCTGGAATGTGGCGGATTCCCAAAATTCCGTTAATTAATTCCGTTAATTAATTCTATTAATTAATTAATCCTCCAAATTAAACCAGCAGGACCCCTTCGCTCCCACCCCTAACGAGGAATTTTCCCAAATTCCCAAATTTTGGGCCTTCCCAGGATGGTTCATCCCCGTGAGGGTCCCACCCCAACCCCGAGACAAAAAACGGCGACTCCGAGTTCCGAAAATCCCAAATCCGCTTTATTTCGCCCCATTTCGGAGAAGGGTTGGAGAAACGGAACAACATCTGAGGTGGGCACCCAAAATTTGGTCAACATCTGAGGTGGGCACCCAAAATTTGATCAACATCTGAGGTGGACACCCAAAATTTGTTCAATTCCTGAGGTGGGCACCCAAAATTTGGTCAACATCTGAGGTGGGCACCCAAAATTTGGTCAACATCTGAGGTGGGCACCCAAAATTTGTTCAACATCTGAGGTGGGCACCCAAAATTTGGTCAACATCTGAGGTGGGCACCCAAAATCCATCAATCCATGAGTTGGGAACCCAAAATTTGGTCAACATCTGAGGTGGGCACCCAAAATTTGTCCAATCCATGAGTTGGGCGCCCAAATCCCACCGATCCCTGAGGTGGACACCCAAAATTTGTCCAATCCCTGAGTCAGGAACCCAAATTTGGCCAATCCCTGAGGTGGACACCCAAATCCCACCAATCCATGAGTTGGGCACCCAAAATCCATCAATCCCTGAGGTGGGCACCCAAAATTTGTTCAACATCTGAGGTGGGCGCCCAAATCCCACCAATCCATGAGTTGGGCACCCAAAATCCATCAATCTTTGAGGTGGACACCCAAAATTAGTTCAACATCTGAGGTGGGCACCCAAAATTTGTTCAACATCTGAGGTGGGCACCCAAAATTTGGTCAACATCTGAGGTGGGCACCCAAAATTTGGTCAACATCTGAGGTGGGCACCCAAAATTTGTTCAACATCTGAGGTGGGCACCCAAAATTTGTCCAATCCATGAGTCAGGAACCCAAATCCCACCAATCCATGAGGTGGACACCGAAAATTGTCCAATCCATGAGTTGGGAACCCAAAATTTGTCCAATCCCTGAGTTGGGCACCCAAAATTTCTCCAATCCCTGAGTTGGGCACCCAAAATTTGTTCAACATCTGAGGTGGGCACCCAAAATCCATCAATCTTGGACACCCAAATCCCACCGATCCTTGAGGTGGGCACCCAAAATTTGTCCAATCCATGAGTCAGGAACCCAAATCCCACCGATCTTTGAGGTGGGCACCCAAAATCCATCAATCTTGGACACCCAAATCCCACCAATCCATGAGGTGGACACCCAAAATCCATCAATCTTTGAGGTGGGCACCCAAAATTTGTCCAATCCATGAGTTGGACACCCAAAATTTGTCCAATCCCTGAGGTGGGCACCCAAAATTCATCAATCTTTGAGGTGGGCACCCAAATCCCACCAATCCCTGAAGTGGACACCCAAAATTTGTCCAATCCATGAGTTGGACACCCAAAATCCGTCAATCCATGAGTTGGGCACCCAAAATTTGTTCAACATCTGAGGTGGGCACCCAAAATTTGTTCAATCCATGAGGTGGGC